CTATTGCTGGTACCTTCTCCTGACACCTGAGGCAAGGCAGAGGGAGGGGAGGGAGGGGAGGAGAGAGAGAGAGAGAGAGAGAGAGAGAGAGAGAGAGAGAGAGAGAGAGAGAGAGAGAGAGAGAGAGAGAGAGAGAGAGAGACTGATTAAACTATATAATCTCTAATGTGCCTTCCAATTAGAAATTTATGATTTTATGAATGTTTCCCTAGGGCTCTGAGTGCTCACTATTATTTTACTGAAATTGGATTCACAGAATCTGGGTTCAAATTTCAACTGACTTTTACCTGTGACCTTGGGCAAGACACTTAACTTTCCTAGTCCTCAGTTTCCTAATTTGTTAAAAATAAGAAGGTTGGACTAGATCATCTATAAGGTCTCTTCTAGCTCTAGACCTATGATCCTAGGATCATCAGGCAGAACCAATAGACAGTAATCTACTTGTTGCCACTCACTCTCCAAATATAGTCACCAGTCCAAAACCAAAGACCCTTTGAAAGGGGGTGGGGGGAGGGAGGGAGGCAAATAGGGGAAGATCTACTCAACACTGGAGTGTGCCTTGGCGTACAGATTACCTGGCTGATGCTTGCACAGGCTACACCCCTACCCGTGCCTTAGGACTCCACCAATTCCTTTCATTGGCCATTAAGATAGACCAAGGAGAGACTGGTCATCTGCTCTGCAACTGCTGGCATAACTGATCTGCCTCTTTCTCAAGGATTAATAATCAAATCAACATTACCTTTGTTCCTATGAAAAACATGCTCATTCCCTATGCTACCCTACTTATAATCTCAGTGATTCATAGGCTCTGCTCGTATTCCTCCATATCAGTCCTTTTTTCTCCCATGTCCTTATACCATTCTACCTACCCTTCCAGTGTGCCTTTTTGAATCCATACTATTTGCAACCACTCTTCTTATTAAATCTATACTCTTTCCCCCATTATTCTGTAAGTGATGTGACCTGTAAAAAGCACTTTGCAAACATAAAGCCTGTACAGGGAGTCCAAAAGTCTTAGTGCTATTTTAAACTATAGCTTAAAATTATACTAATTATTTTTATTAAAATAATTTTATCAAACTAAGTATTAAAATGTTTAGCTATTATAAACATACTTATTATTATCACTATTATTATTTTATACTTATTTATATGTGTACATGTCGTTATTGTCATCATTCTCTTCCCTCCCCCCACTGGAATGAAACTCCTTGAGGTAAATGACTTCATTTTTCCTCCTCTTCTCTTTGCACTAGAACTGGAACTGCTCTAGAACTTTGCACACACTTCTCACATCATTTAGAATGATGCTTGGAGGGAGTAGGCACTTAATACTTGTTTAAAAAACTCATTTGTAGATTCATAGAATTACAGAATTAAGAGCCCTAAAGACTATTGAGTCCAACCTCATCATTTTACATAGGAGTAAACTGAGGACCAGTCATTAAGTGACTTGCCCAAGGTTACTAGCCAATAATGATAGAGCTAGTGTTAAAATTCATTTAGTTCTTCTTAGTCCCAAACCACCAAACCATCTAGTCCATTCCATACTTGAAAAAGTATCCAATCCATAACACATCTTTGCTTGAAGAACATACATCATAAGTTTGGTACAAGAGAATACTTGAAAGTAATAATAATAGTAACTGATATTTATGTAGTCCTTAGTATGTGCCAATAAGCACTTTACAATTATTGTCTCATTTGATCTTCACAAAAACCTTGGAAGGTAGGTGCTATTGTTATCCCTATTTTACATGTAAGGAAACTAAGGAAAAGAGAGATTAAGTGACTTGCCCAGGGTCACACAGCAAATAAGTGTTGGAGGCCAGATTTGAACTCCTGATTCCAGGCCCAGCACTCTATCCACAGTCACCTAACTGCTCCTACAATATATATCTATACATAGGTATAGAAATATGTTGTCTCTATCTCTATGTATATGTATACCATATATGCATACATAGATACATATATATACCCATAGATACATACCCATACATATGTAAATACATATACGTAGATATAGGCTGTGTGTGTGTGTGTGTGTGTGTGTGTGTGTGTGTGTGTGTGTGTGTGAGAGAGAGAGAGAGAGAGAGAGAGAGAGAGAGAGAGAGAGAAAGAGATTAGAAGTATCTGGTTTAGCCCCTAGAGGCCAGACCTTAGAGCAGTAGGTGGAAGTTGCCAAGAGACAATTATAGGATTAAACTTAAAAAACAAACTTCCTGATAAGAACTATGCAAAAGTAACAGGGCTAGTCTCTAAAGCTAATGGATTTCCCTTCTCTGGAGGAGATAGCCTGTCAATTGAATTGCAGTCGAGATTTTTTTTTTCTGGCATGGGCTGGAGTAGATGGTCAGTAAGATTGCTCACAACTTTGAAATTCTGTAATTCTATGTTTTTTTGGTTTAGGAATGTCTTGTTGACATTTCACAATTGCTCCAATGCACCCCTCCTCTTCCTCTCTCCCCATAAAATTCTTGAGAGCAGGGACAATCTTTTTGGCTTGTATTCACATTTTGTTATATAGTTATATGGCTTAAAAAAGATTGTTTCCGGATTGTAGTTTGAGGCTATGCTATGATAACTTATTACGATTTGCCAGGCACTGTGCTAAGTGCTAGTTGTACAAGTAAGAAAAGACATTCCTTACTCTCAAGGAGCTCAAAATCTAATGGAGGAAGACAGTACAATACACAAAAAGAAGTTGAAAGTGTTCTTCCAGAAAACTTTTCAGTGCTGAAAAGATACGGAAACTTTTGCCCTGCAGTGACTAAAGTCAATGCAGAATTCAAAAAAAAAATTAATACTATTTGCAAGGACTTTGTTTAGGAAACTGTGCTAAATGGGTAGGGTGAGCTCAAATAAATCAACAGGAGACTCAAACTGTCAGGTACCAGGCCAATCAAGTAAGCAGTTCCTAAAGGGACTTTGGAACGGTACTGGGGGAGGTGAAAGCTCTATTTCTATACACTTTGTTAGGTGAAACTTCTGGGATTCACAATAGAGCTGGTCAGCAAGGCTTGTGAGATGACTGTCCTTTTTGAACAGTCCTATAGCTAACTGAGCATTCAAAGACTGGCAAAATAATTAGTTCCAGGTGACAAATGAGGAGAAAAGAAAAAAAAAGGGAAAACCAGCATACTCACAGTATTCATACTCACCCTTCTTTCCCAGTGTTACTAGCCAACCTATAATGCCCACCATGATGTGGCCATGGGGGACAGTTCCATAATATCCATCACCTCATCCACTTCCTTTTTGTTCACTCTAGACTTTGGAGCCATGCCTGCCCACCTTCCCAAATAATATGGGGTCCATGCCTGTGGGGATGGATGGATTTAGTGGGGTCATATTTGAAGTTGCTCTTCACCTTTCCCTACTGACTGCTGCTTTGTTTTGGAGGCAGGAAGCCCATGTGTCCATGCCTGGAGTCAGAGATCTTCTGACGGGACATGCTACTGTTGCTGCCAAGGCAAAGTGGAAGCCCCACTTTACAGATGAGGAAACTGAAGCTTAGAGTGGTTAAGGGACCTGCCCCAAGGTCACACTAAGTCAGTGGCAGAAGTAGGACTAAGGACCAGTTTTGATGACCCAGTCCAGTATGTTTTCCACTCTGCCACTCTTTAGGGTGTGTTTTCCAGAGATTCCTTAAATTGCACAATTTATTTCTAAGTAAGTGTCTCCTGCCCCAAAATAAAGTCATTCAATCGACAAGCATTTATTAAGTGCTTACTATATGCAAGGCACTGTGCCAAGTGGTAGGGATACAAATGCAAGTCCCCCCCCCCAAAAAAAAAGCTTTATGGTATGTACATTGAGTAAGTCAACCTGCAATTCCACCTTTAAGTCTCTCTGCTATTGACAAGCAAACACAGGTGGGGAACAATTATTTTTGTTCAATCATTTCAGTCAGGTCAGACTCTTCATGACCCCATTTGGGTTTTCTTGGCAAAGATTCTGGAATGATCTCCCATTTCCTTCTCCAGATCATTTTAGAGATGAGGAAACTGAGGCAAACAGGATTAAGTCACTTGCCCAGTGTTACACAGCTACCAAGTGTCTGAAGCCAGATTCAGTGAAGATGAGCCTTCTTGACTCCAGGCCTAGCACTCTATCCATTGCTTGGCCTAGCTGCTCCTAGCTACAGAGAAGTAAAGTGTAAGTCTAAGGTAAGTTGGAGGTACAGCTAGAACTGGAATCCAGTTCCTGGGATGGTGTTTTTTTGGTCCCAGAAAGGGTTTCTCAAAGCAGCTCTGGAAAGATACCATTTTTTTCTCTTTAAGAAACTCTTCCATAACCATGGAGGACCCTGTACCACCTTCACATCTCCCCAACCCCATCCCCAATCTATTCTCCCTGAGGTCCCAAAGTAAGTCAATACTCAGTCACCTATCACTATAGCCTCTGCTGTTTTGTAGGTGCTGACCAGACACTGAGTAAAATGGCCTACAATTCCTAGGGATCCCCCAATTAGGCATGATCCTCATTCTGGGACACGTTTTTCTCTTCCTCTTCCCCTCCCCCCCTTAATAAATCTACAAGGCTCAATCACAGCATCTCCCCAAATGCTTGAGGAGAGCAGAGATACTCCTGGGAAAGGTAATTTCATTTTATTGAGTGACTGGTAGTCTCTTAATTTAACATACTACAGGAATTCTAATATTTTTCCTACCGAGTCTCCTACTTTCCATCCTTAGTGTTACCCCTCTCTCCCATGCTCGATGAGAAGTCTCTACTCTTTAAGGCCCCGTTCCTCTCACTCCTCATCTCTCCTCCTGCTAACTTGCCCTAACAACCCCGAGAGCTCGACTGTTTCGGTCGTCTGGATGCATGGCACTGACTCCGTACACCTAGATGTCTTCTGGAATCGAAGTTTGGGACTCCTGCCTCCTAAGCTGAGAGCCAGCCAAAAGTCGGTGCTGAAGTGCAGGCCCTCCTCTGAATTCCCAGATCCAGTGCCCTCCCACTGCTTCTGTGACGTCAGTGGCCGGAACCTGGAATCTCAGCGGCTGGGAGGCTGGGCAGGGCCACAGCCCTAGTTGTCTCCTACTTTTCCTCCTTTTTCTCTTTTCTCCTCCATCTCCTCTTTCCAGTCGCGCGGCCATGAGCGACACTAGCTCGGTCAGCGGCTGGGACAGCCACAGAGACGGTAGGCAAAGGGGACGGGGAGGACGGGGGCCTGGGTTGCACTGCAACATTTAGAATGAGCGTCTTGGGGTATTCCCCAGAGCAGACTTGGGAGAATGGGCAGCTCCCCTCCGCCCGCACCAACTGGTTCCCAGGCCGTGGAGGAGACACAGGGAAGGGTGAGACCCCCTTAAGTCAGGGACGCAGGAGTCTCCAGGGAAGCTGTAGCTCTTTATCCAAATCTGTGCTTCCCTCTCGTGAATTTAAGAACGGAAGGAGAGAATCTTTCTGGACTCTCTACTGGCTGGACCCTCCAGCGTCTGGAAGTTTGGGATCAGTCTTGTAACTGAGCTGTTCCTACCTTCTCAGGGCTCTCATTCGCCGAAAAACTTAGTTGGATGAAAACAACCATAATCAACTTGTAGCTAGAAGGCAGGCAGCGTGGAGTAATTGAAAAGGAAATTGAACTGGGAATCGGAAGAACTAAATTCTCTAGTTTTACCTCTCACATTTATGCCTAAGTGTAATCTCAGTCAGACAAGTGACTAATTCAGGACCTGTTTTCCCTATCCTGAAAATCCTCATTTATGTAGAGCTTTTAAGTTTAAAGTGCTTTCTCTACCATGAGGAGGTTGGCTAGAATGATCAGAGGTGGCCAACGTGTCCACAAAAGCATGTTTTGGTTTCAGAGGAGCACCTTCTCCAACACAAAATCTCGATATTGACGTAGAAGTTGTGGGAGGTTCCTGGGTAGCCACCTAACATTTTAAAATCTTACTAGACAAAAATAGTTACAAGAAATGTAGTATCTTATTTCGTTTATCTCTGCCCCAGTGAGAAAATTTTCCCCCTTACATAAACTACTTATTCAAAATGACTAGAGATTGTTAATGGATGGACAGCAGTTCTGGGCAGCATGATTTAAAAAAAAATCCAAATATTGAAACATTACTAAATGAAAGAGCCGTCAGTCAACAAGCATTTATTTAAGTGCTGTGTGTCAGGCACTGAAGTCCCCCTGGCTCTCAAGGAGTTCACATTCTAATGGAGCAGACACAATGTGTAAATAACCATATGTTCATACAAGATATATCTGGAGTCCACCACTTATTAGCAGCAGGGGAGGAGGAAAGGCCACCTGCAGAAGGTGGTGTATTAGCTAAGACTTGAAGGAAGCCCTGGATCCCAAAGCCCTGAGATAACATTGAGCTTTGTATATTCTGTGTATTATGTGGATGTCCTCTGGGATTTAAGGGTTTCAACAAACCATTTTGAGTTTTTACTGGTTTTAATTATTCCTGCTACTGTTTAGGAAAATTCACTAATTTTATGGTAGAAGTGATTATGTTTTTGGTACTGTTCTGGCATTTCCCATGCACTGTAGAAAATAAGCATTTAGAACAAATTTAAACGTGATATTTAGATAGGATAGTGACCTGTCAAAACTTTTTGCTTTAAATTTATTTTAGTGGATAAAACATTGACCTGGTAATTTACTGGCTGTGTGTGATCATGGAGAGTTCATCTCTTTTGAAGCTCAGTTTTTTCATCTTTAAAATGAAGATAATCACGAATGACCTGCTTCAGAGAGTTGGGAGGGGGAAGGGTAATGGAAGAGTTGTGTAGATCTTAAAACGCTACAATGATGTAATATTATTATTAATATTACAAATTACCTATAAAGCTTAACTCTTGCCAGACACACTGTTATCATTGCCCATGTATGGGTGTGGTTGATTTCTAATATGATTCACTAGTGTATTTTGGAAAGAGGATATGTCTCTTCAGATATAGAATCTTCTCAGAATGTCCAAGAAATACCAAGCCCTTCTGGTTAGGCATCACATATGTTTCTTGTCACTTAAGGTTTCCAAGAGGGCTTCTATTCCTGTAGAACAAGGGTCCCCAATTTGATTTAGATATCTGGTTACAGAAATTGTCTTTTGACATCTCAAAAAAGAAACAAGAAGAGAACTGGGTAAGAACGTCTCTGTAGGACTAGGAACCAAACGAATATTTGGCTGCCCTCACAGCTAACTACAAGCAAAAGTTAAATTGATTTACATCTGGAAAATACCTTAGATGACAAGTCCTCTAATCCATTCCTCTCTTTTTCCAATGAGGGGCCATAGAGTTTAAATGACTCTCATAGGTAGGACTGGAACACACTTCCTTTGGCCCCACATCCATATCTCTTTTCCACAGTACCACACTACTCCATGTTTCCCTTTGCTTGGGCCACAGGCGGTTAACACTCCTGGATTGAAACTAACAGGATGCAGTTTAAAAAAATAAATTTTATTGACAGTTTTTTCATTTCATATTATCTGTATATTCCAGTGCATTCGTCTTCTTCCCAGAGTCATCCCACAAATGAAAAAATAAAAAAGAGGGAACAAACAATTCAGTAAAAACACTATATTGGAAAAGTCTACCATTATATGTAGTTTCCTACAGCAACAGTCACCCACCTCTGCAAAGAAGCTTGGGGAATGTGCCTTTTTATATCCATATTCTGGGATCAAGGTTAATTGTTATAAATTTGGAAGCATTCCATATTTATTGTTTTGTGGTTATTTTTTTCCATTTACATTGCTGTAATCATTGTGTACATTGTTTGCTAGATTCTACTTATTTCATTTTGCATAAATGAGTTCATAGGAGTCTCCTTATGCTTCTCCGCTTTCATCATAGTCATCTTTTCGTACAACCCAGTCATATTTTGTTAAATTTTTGTACCACAACTGTTTAGCCATTACTGAACAGTTGGATCACAGCAAGAAATTTCAGAGAATGAAATGCATATTTCTGTTTAGAGGTTCCAAACTAGGTTCCAAACTCAATGATACAAATAGAGGGCCAAGTACCGGGTGGAGGAGAACTGCATGGTCTAGGTGGCCACAAGTGGATGAGAGTCAGGAAGACCTGAGTTCAAATCCAGCCTCAAACACTGACTAGCTGGGTAACCCTGGGCAAGTCACTTAACCTCTCTGCTTCAGTTTCTTCAGCTGTAAAATAATATATAATACCACCCAATTCACAGGGTAGAGATAATATTTGTAAAGTACTTAGCACAGTGCCTGGCACATGGTAAGCACTATATAAATGTTAGCCATCATGATGATGATGATGTTTGATTGGGTTGGACCCTTTGGAACAAGTCCTTTATGGAAAGAAGACCTGATTGCTGCGTAGGGGTGGTTTGAGAATGGCAAGTTCCACATAAACTTGCATGACATTGCTGCCCCAAAAGCCGGTGCAGTCTTGGGTTGCTTTGATAGAAATACAGTGTCCAGAGCAAAAGAGGCATAGTCTTCTTGTAACCTTCACTGCTCAGTTCACATCTACAATGCTATGTTCAGTTCTGGATGTCCCATATCTGGAGGAACGCTAATTAAATGAAGCACGTCCAGAGAAGAGTGGAAAGGTCAAATGTTAGAGGTCTTAACATGTTAGAAAGGTCATGAAGTGGTAGATGTATTCTGGCAGAGCTATGATTAGTAAGAAAAAGGTACGGTGAGTCATATTATGGCAAAGGGTAAGTGAAATCTTTTTTTTAAATGACTTTTACATTTTTTTCTTAGTCTGTACTAAAACAACAATTAACAAGTATTTCTGAATTCAAATGAATTCTAGTTTATAGAAATATCCAAATATAGTTGGGTGTTACAGTGGGTAGAGCACTGGGCCTAGAGTCAAAAAGACTTGAGTTCAAATCTAGCCTCAGCTACTAGCTGTTTGATGCTAGGCAAGTCATTTAACTTCTTTTTGCCTCAATTTCTTCATCTGTAGACTGGAGATAATAATAGCACCTATCTCCAGAATTGTTGTGAGAATCAAATAAGAAAGTAGTTGCAAATCATAAGTACTAGCTATTAAGTACTCTTAACTACTTACAGCTTTCGTTTTTTAAAAGTAAGAAATTTCTTGTAAGAAAAATTAATACCTTATTTAATTTCTTTCAATTATATTTTCAGTTCCAAATTTTCTCTCACCTACCATTCTTATTTGTTCATATTTTTTATTTTATATTTTTACATTTATATTTATTTGTTTATTTATATGTCATTTTTATTATATTGGCTCAGCCTACCCAAGAGCAATTAATATTTCTCCAGTTTTTTTTAGCTCTGTCCTTACGTGTGTGAAGAAGGCAAGAAAAATAAGGCCCTTTGGTATATCTAGACGTACAAAACAAATTTCTGCATTAGCCATGTTTCAAGAACAAAAAATAAGCAAAAAAGGGAGAAAGAAATAGAAAAAAATACACTTCAATTTTCACTCAGAGTCCACCAGCTCTCTTTTTGGAGGCAGATAGCATATTTCATTTATGAGTCCCTTGGAACTGTGGTGGGTCATTGTGTTGATCAGAATTACTAAGTCTTTCAAAGTTGATTATCTTTACAATACTGTTGTTACTGTATAAAACGTTCTGGTTCTGCTTCTGTTCACGTCAGTTTGTATCAGTTCATATAAGTCTCCCCAGGTTTTTCTGAAACCACCCCCGTCATCATTTCTTTTTGTTTGTTTGTTTTGTGTTTTTGTTTTTTGTGAGGCAGTTGAAGTTAAGTGACTTGCCCAGAGTCACACAGCTAAAGTGTCAAGTGTCTGAGGCCACATTTGAACTCAGGTCCTCCCGACACCAAGGCCAGAGCTCTATCTACTTCGCCAACCCACTCTTCATCATTTCTTATAGCACAATAGTGTTTCATCACATTTATATACTGTATAACTTGTTCACCCATTCCCCAATTGTTGGGCATTCCTTCAATTTCCAATTCTTTGCTACCACAAATAGAGCTACTATTAATGTTTTTGTAAATATCAGCCACTTTCCACTTTCTTTGATCTCTAGGTATAGACCTAGTAGTGGCATCACTGGGTCAAAGAACATGTACAGTTCAATAACTTTTGAGGAATAGTTCCAAATTGCTTTCCAGACTGGTTGGATTAGTTCACAGCTCCATTAACAGTATATTAGTGTACCTATTTTTCCACATTTCCTCCAGCATTTGTTATTTT